AGTAGTGACTCCATAGCATCTTATTACACTGATGGACAGTGACTGCAATGGGCTATGTGTGGGGGACTGGAAAATATGGGTGAATGTAGTAACCACAATATTGCTCATGTGAAACCTTCATAAGATTGTATATCAATAATACCTTAATTTTAAAAAAAAGATAGGCATATGACCATAGGTATATGCATATGAATACAGCGAAATGAAAGAGGTCTGGAAAGTTTACCTTGGATTACAGAGGAAAAAAAAAAGTACAAAAACCTGAATGAACAGAATATACTTCAAAGTAAGGGTATTGATTACATTACCTCTAGGAAGGGAAGGAGGAAAACTGAGGTCAGGAAGAAGTACCAAGGGGCCTTAATTTTACCTGCAACATTTTATTTCTTAAAAACAAAAATCTGAAGCAAACATGTAAAATGTAGCATTTATTAAATGGGGTGGGAGGGAAATCTTAGTATTCAGTTCTGTTCTGTTTTCATTTCAGTTTGTTTAAAGATTGTATAAAGTTTTAAGAAACCTACATACCAAGGAGATTTACCATCAATTATAGCACAACTGTGGATGATATGCCACCACTCCACAGAAACCTGGATCAATATCACAAATGTTCAGATGATTAGTGATTGAAAAGGACCTAGAGCTGTCTGCCCCAATGCTATCAATGACTTGAGTGAGGTAATGGAGTGAAGTAAGCACAGAGAAGAAAAACTGAGAATTATACATATATAAACTAACCCCAAACTGACATTATTCAGGTAAAACAAATTGACCAGTTTCATTCCCGAAACATTAGGTTTTATTCTTCTATCTTCAATTTCTTCCATTTTCTCAAATCTCATTAAAATTGAACTACTGAATAATAAAAAGAAGGTAGAGAGAAGAAACAGCAAAAATACTTTCTCATATCACAGATGTTTCAAATAGAAGTATAAATTATGAGGAATATTCTTATGCTGCTCTGTAGGTTACTTAGCATACCATAACATTCTCCAAAAATTCATTGAGAAAATTCACACTTCCTTTCCAGCAATTTTCTCTCAAGTTATATGGCTCTGCTGAGCAGCACAAAATGTTGTGTTATACACCAAAACCTTTCATGTTTCCTATGTTTTGCTCTCACATTACAACAGTTAAACACATGAGATCACCACCAATATAAAGACTGCAATACTAAATATGGAGAGGGTAGGGTGAGAGGAGAATGGAGTGCTACACTTTCAACAAGCAAGTAGAGATAAAACATCCCATCCCAGTTTATAGGAACTGGGAACAAATTAAATGTCACCACAAAGGAAAAAAATTCAGATAATAACACAACATGGGATATTCTATACCTGAGCCTGGTCTCTTCAAAAGGTAATGTGCTCAAAAAAGATTTTTACAAGAATAAATGCTCACAGTAGCTTTATTCATGACAACCACACCCTGGTAACAATCCAAAAATGCTCATCAATAAGAATGGGCAGACATGTGGTATACACATACAATAGAATACTACTCCACAATATAAAGGAACAACGTGCACTACTAACATTTATGGATGAATCTCATAAATATGCTGAGCATAAGAAGTCAGACACAAAGTATTACATGCTCCATGGCTCCACTTAAGTTGAAATGCAAGTACTGGCCAACTAATCTGTAGTAACAGAATTCAGAGTAATTAGTTCCTCTGCACAGGGCTTGAGAGGAGCACAAGGGAATTTCCTGGGGTGACAGAGTGCCCTAAATATTGATCCTGTGATGGTTATAAGAGTATATCAATTTATCTAAATCCATTGGCTGGGTCAGGGGAACACTGTGAGGATGAAAAAGTAGAACTGCTCTATATTAAAATGGATTAAAAAGACCTAAAAACCAAATGCAACAGGTAAACCTTGATTGGATCCTGGTTTGAAAAGTTAACTATACAAGTCATTTTGGGGACAACGGGGAAACTAGAATATGGGCTAGATTTTATTAAATTATCAGTAATTATTTAGGTCTGATAATAGTATTGTGGTTATGTAGAACAATGTCCTTATTTATAGAAGATGTTTGTTTGCTGAAGTATTTAGGAGTCGAGCTTCATAGTACCAACAATTTATTTTCAGATTTTCAGCAAAAAAAAAAAACTCTTATTTTATACACATATATATATATATATATATGAGAAATCAAATCAAATTAACTGTAGTACACAGGTCCTGGGACAGAGTCATTCATTGTACTATTCCTCCAACTAGTCTTGTGTTTAGAAAATGTCAATAAAACGTGGAGGGAAAAGAAGATACCAACTTTTATAGAGTGATCTCCAGGATACATGGCGAAAAAGCAAAGTTTGGAATAGTTTACATAATATGCTACTTATTGTGTAAGAAAAGGAGCAAAGAAAAAAATATATGTGAGGGGAATATACTACATATGCCAAGTGTGTGTATCTAATTTGGTTATATTACAAAAGGAAATACTAGAAAAGTCAGAAAACAGTGAAAATTGTTACCTATAGTAGACAAGTATAGGTGGGAAACAGATGTGAGGAGACAGGGCTGGAAGTGAGACTTCTCTGAGTGAATTATATAGTTTTGACTTTTACACCATGTCAACATAAAAAAATTAAATTGAAAAGAAAAACCTAGAAATAAAAATATGTTTAAAATATCTACGGTCATATAATTCCTCCTTTCAATCAAAGCCAAATTAATCAAGCTTGCGTAAGTTGTTTGGTTGCTGGTGGTCTTTTTTACTCCTTAGTATCAGAGCCAATTAAACAGACTTTGTACTCCTCAGAAAACTTATAATCTTGTTGCAGATCCCAAATAGTCGAGCAACCCTAGACAAATAATTAGCCATGTTAAGCCTTGATTTTCTCACCTGCAGAAAGGAATTAAATCCAATGATATCTAAGTTTATTAGAATTGTAATACTCTGATCCAAATGTTTAAAAAAATTACATAGGAATGTTTCCATCTGCATAATTTCTTAAGCCTTGATGAAAAACCAAGCTGCATTATACAGTCATTCAATTTCTGCAATACAATACTGAGGAGAAAGGGTTGTGAAATAAAATGTATTCCTCCGATATCTTCAGGCAGTCATCAGTTACGAAAAGCAACTTCCTCTTAGAAGGTCTGTTTTGGCGAAGGAAAGGAAGCAGCAGCCAGTCGGTCAGGCAGCGGCACTCACTGGGGCTGGTAAACCCCATTGGTTAGCAGCAAGGAAGAAACAACCAATAACAAAGTCCGCTGAGGCGGCTCTGAGGAGTTTTGCCAATTGCTCCCAGACCAAGCGGTTTAGGATGCTTCCGGTATTCTTTTATTAAAGAAATCACTTTACAAAGAAATTGACAAACTTTGGCAGCTGTAGGATGAAACTAGGGCTGTACTGTTTCTGACAGCAAAGAGAAAAATCTC